GCCAAGTCCAGCAACTAAGCGAGGGACATTGTTTAGGGTGTACACCTTAAAGCTGGCTGACTGCGTGTTTCCATGTCAACTGACATTTTGCTGTAGTTTTATGGCAAGAATAGATGCACATTATAGATACTGGGTTAAAGCAGGGAAGGATGTCTGATGTATCCCATATTTGAAATAATCCATATGATAGGTGGACAGTGGAGACCGATTAGGAGTTTGTGAAGATGGAGAGAATGGGAAATGATCAATGGACATCCATTAATTACTTTCTTTCATTCTGTAGTTTGAGTCTCAGAGCAAAACTCGAGCAAGTCCACAGCACCAACAGCGAGGTGGGCCAGGGGGTCCAGGTGGCCACCCTGGCGGTCCAGGTGGTCCAGGTGGCCCAAGAATGCCACCTCCTGGCCGTGGCATGCCTCCCCCAGGAATGGACCATAGACCACCAGGTCCACCTGGCCCCCATGGCCCTCATAGTGGCTCTCATGGTGGGCCTCATGGTGGTCCACATGGTCCTCATGGACCTCCAGGACCACATGGTCCTCCTGGGCCTCATGGTCCCCCTGGTCCCCATGGACCTCACAGTGGACATCATGGTGGTCCGCCAGGCCCACACGGACCACCTGGTCTGGGGCCGCACCACGGGCCACACCAAGGACCTCCTCGTGGACCTCCCCCTCATGGCATGCAAGGTAAGACACACTTTCTGTCATACTGTATATGATTTTTCCTTTCTTTTTTTCTTTTCTTTCCTTTTATTTTCTTTACCAAAATGGCATGTAATTTTGTGTTGCTGAGAAGTAGTTCTTACTGATAGTGGTTGTGTGCCACAGGCCCTGGACCCAGAGGTCCTCCTCCTCCAGGCCACCTTCAAAGACCTTTACATCCTGGTGGACCTGGTGGGCCTCCACCTGGCCATGGTGGCCCACCTCCCCGTGGACCACCACCAAATATGGGACCTCCCCCGGGTCAACATGGACCCCCACCACCACGTGGCCCTCCTCCACCCATTGACCCAAGGGCTCCGCCACCCAGACCGGACTTTATAGGTATGTGGATGAGATGCTAAAAGGAACAAATAATGAGTTACTTTACAGGAACTGATAAGCACAAAGTAGACGAGATCACAACTGGCATGCTTACATCTACTGACAGGTCCTTAAATTAGTCTAGCTGGGTATCTGATTGAGCGCTATACAATCCTACAGTGTGTAGTTTTAGATGGTATCTGTTGCCTGATGAAAATATGCATGATTTCCATAATCTTCTTAGACTTCTTTTCGGTTCAAAAGGGTTGTTAGTCATTCCTTTGATGGCTTTGTTTGGAAAAGAAGTGGTGTTTTCAAGGGCATTCTAAGTGTAGCAATATTTCATATCACAAAAGTAAAAGTTCCTGTTCCCATAACTAACTTTGTAAAAGTTGGCACTTGGGGCAGACAGACCGAGGGGACTTACTTACTGACGCTGGTGTTTGTCAACAGGTGGCTTCCCGGCCACGAGCAGCCCCCCCTCGGTTCCCCACAACCTGGCTCTCCCTGCGAGGCCTCCCATCACGCAAGGTACCCCCACCACAGACATATATGGCAATGGTAATGCTCTCAGCACTGTCTTGTGCTAGCTGGGGGGGGTTGTGTGGTGTGATGTGGTGTGTGGGGTGGTCCCTTACCTTTGCTTGATAAAACGTTTCCAATAATGAAGTGTTTTGCCCAGAAGCAAAGAATTAGAAGTAGAATGCCTTGATTTTGTCATGCATTTTGTTTGCCACTTTGACCCTTTCTCTCTGTCTTTTTCTTTTTCTTTTTCTTTTTGTTTTCTTGTGTTCCGTTTTTTCTTTTTTTTTTCTGTACTAACTCTTAAACTCTTCTCTTTTTCTACTTACTGATAAGTTTGTATTATGAATATGAAATGTTTAATTATTTATTTATTTTTTTTTTTTTTGCAAGATCCATTTTGTTTATATGGACAGATTTCCTTCTAAAAGAAGTGTGATGCTTATTGTATTTATTCATTTTTTATAGAGGACTAGACATTGTATATAAAACTAGGTTTTTTTTTGAAAATGTAAAGCATGTTATCCTTGTGTTGTGGTAGTATTGGTTTTATGAAGTTTATCCTTTTATCTATATAAACTGAAAAATAAAGCTTGGTGTCATGAATTCTCATTGCTAAATTAAATAACCTGAAAATTTTGAATTCTCATTTAGTGCTTAGATTAGGAATATGGTTATCATTAGAAAAACAGATATTTGATACCTGGCAAATTTGAAGTTGTGAAATTGTAATTTTTGTCAATTTTGAATCCATTTTATTGAGGCTAATGAACAGTACGTGAAGAAATGTGATAGGTTTCATAAGCCCCCCAAAATAAAGAGAAGACCAAGTACTAGAATTGAATGAGTGTAATATACATGTATGTGTGTAAAGCGAGAAGACAAGGAAATCTGTGATGCTGATTGTTTAATGTTTGGCTGAATTTAAAGGGTTAGTACTGTAAATCATAGAGTGGAATTTTTTATTTTTATTTTATTTTTTTTTTTTACATGACTAATTTGCATAGTTATCCTGAAATTTTTCTTCTTTTTTCTTTTCTTTTTTTCTTTTTTCTCTGATGTCATAAATGCTTTGATAGAAGCTTTGATGGATTAATTTACTGAAAAGCTTTCATAAGAGTTTTGTTTGGCCAGAGGCTTTGAAGCTTTTATAGGAGTTTCGATTACCCAGAAGCTTTGATAGGAGTTTTGTTTACCTAGAAGCTTTGATAGGAGTTTCCTAGAAGCTTTGATAGGAGTTTCGTTTACCTAGAAGCTTTGATAGGAGTTTCGTTTACTTAGAAGCTTTGATAGGAGTTTTATATACTTAGATCTTTGATAGGAGTTTTGTTTACCCAGAAGCTTTGATAGGAGTTTCCTTTACCCAAAAGCTTTGATAGAGTTTTTTACTTAGGCTTTGGATAGCGTTTCTTAGAAGCTTTGGGAGTTTTTTAGAAGCTTTGATAGGAGTTTTATTTACTTAAGCTTTGATAGAGTTTCGTTTACTTGGATCTTTGATAGGATTTTATTGAGTTTCGTTTACTTAAAGCTTTTGATAGGAGTTTTGTTTACTTAGAAGCTTTGATAAGAGCTTTGATAGGTAGGCTTTGATGGGAGTTTCGGATTTGATAGGAGTTTTTTAAGGGCTTTGGTATGAGTTCGTTTTCTTGGAAGCTTTGATAGGGAGTTTATTGGCTCTAAGCTTTGATGGGAGTTTTATTGGCTCTAAAGCTTTTAGGAGTTTTATTGGCTCTAAAAGCTTTGATCGGAGTTTTATTGGCTCTAAAGCTTTGATAGTTTTATTGGCTCTAAAGCTTGATGGGAGTTTTATTGCTCTCTAAAGCTTTGATAGGAGTTTTATTGGCTCTAAAGCTTTGATGGGAGATTTATTGGCTCTAAAAGCTTTGAATAGGAGTATTGGCTCTAAAGCTTTGATAGGAGATTTATTGGCTCTAAAGCTTTGATAGGAGTTTTATTGGCTCTAAAGCTTTGATGGGAGTTTTATTGGCTCTAAAGCTTTGATAGGAGTTTTATTGGCTCTAAAGCTTTGATAGGAGTTTTATTGGCTCTAAGCTTTGATGGAGTTTTATTGGCTCTTTTTGATAGGAGTTTTATTGGCTCTAAAGCTTTGATAGGAGTTTTATTGGCTCTAAAGCTTGAGGAGTTTTATTGCTCTAAAGCTTTGATAGGAGTTTTATTGGCTCTAAAGCTTTGATAGGAGTTTTTATTGGCTCTAAAGCTTTGATAGGAGTTTTATTGGCTCTAAAGCTTTGATGGGAGTTTTATTGGCTCTAAAAGCTTTGATGGGAGTTTTATTGGCTCTAAAGCTTTGATAGGAGTTTTATTGGCTCTAAAGCTTTGATGGGAGTTTTATTGGCTCTAAAGCTTTGATAGGAGTTTTTATTGGCTCTAAAGCTTTGATAGGAGTTTTATTGGCTCTAAAGCAGCGAGTTTTATTGGCTCTAAAAGCTTTTGATAGGAGTTTTATTGGCTCTAAAGCTTTGATAGGAGATTTATTGGCTCTAAAGCTTTGATAGGAGATTTATTGGAGCTTTGATAGGAGATTTATTGGCTCTAAAGCTTTGATAGGAGTTTATTGGCTCTAAAGCTTTGATGGGAGTTTTATTGGCTCTAAAGCTTTGATAGGAGTTTTATTGGCTCTAAAGCTTTGATAGGAGTTTTATTGGCTCTAAAGCTTTGATAGGAGTTTTTATTGGCTCTAAAGCTATTTGCTCTAAAGGAGAGTTTTTTGGCTCTAAAGCTTTGATTTTATTTGGCTCTAAAGCTTTGATAGGGCTCTAAAGCTTTTAGGAGTTTTATTGGCTCTAAAGCTTTTGATAGGAGTTTTATTGGCTCTAAAGCTTTGATAGGAGTTTTTATTGGCTCTAAAGCTTTGATGGAGTTTTATTTGGCTCTAAAGCTTTGATGGAGTTTTATGGCTCTAAAGCTTTGATAGGAGTTTTTTTGGGCTCTAAGCTTTGATAGGAGTAATTTATTGGCTCTAAAAGCTTTGATAAGGAGTTTTATTGGCTCTAAAAGCTTTGATAGGAGTTTTATTGGCTCTAAAAGCTTTGAATAAGGAGTTTTATTGGGAGCTTTTATTGGCCTTCTAAAGCTTTGATAGGAGTTTTATTGCTCTAGCTTTGATGAGTTCTCTACTTTCTAAAGCTTTGATAGGATTGGCTTAAAGCTTATAGGAGTTTTAGCCTGGCTCTAAAGCTTTGATGGGAGTTTATTGCTCTAAAGCTTTGATGGGAGTTTTTATTGGCTGCTCTAAGCTTTGCATAGCAAGTTCTTTTTTGGCTCTTAAAGCCTTTGCATAGGAGTATCCTTTTTTGGCTCTAAAGCTTTGATAGGAGTTTTATTGGCTCTAAAGCTTTTAGGCCAATTTAGGCTCAGTTTAATTGGCTCTAAAGCTTTATGATATTGGCTCTAAGTTTCGATAGGAGTTTTATTGGCTTAAAGCTCTTTGATGGGAGTTTATTGCCAGCTTTGATGGGAGTTTTATTGGCTCTAAAGCTTTGATAGGAGTTTTTTTTGGCTTCTAAGCTCTCTGATAGGAGTTTTATTTGGCTCTAAAGCTTGATGGAGTTTTTATTGGCTCTAAGCTTTGATAGGAGTTTTTTTGGCTCTAAAAGCTTTGATGGAGTTTTATTATATGGCTCTAAAGTTTGATAGGTGAAAGCTTTGAATAAGTTTTATTGGCTCTAAAGCTTTGATAGGAGTTTTATTGGCTCTAAAGCTTTGATAGGAGATTTATTGGCTCTAAAGCTTTGATGGGAGTTTTTTTGCTAAAGCTTTGATAGGGATCTTTATTGGCTCTAAAGCTTTTGATGGGAGTTTTTATTGGCTCTAAAGCTTTGATAGGAGTTTTATTGGCTCTAAGCTTTGAGGAGGAGTTTTTTGGCTCTAAAGCTTTGATAGGGCTCTAAGCTTTGATTTTTATTGGCTCTAAAGCTTTGATAGGGGTTTATTTTGCTCTAAAGCTTGATAGGGTTTTATTGGGCCTCTAAAGCTGATAGGAAGTTTATTGGCTCTAAAGCTTTGATAGGAGTTTTATTGGCTCTAAAGCTTTGATAGGAGTTTTATTGCTCTAAAGCTTGATAGGAGTTTTTTTGGCTCTAAAAGCTTTGATGGAGTTTTATTGCTCTAAAGCTTTGATGGGAGTTTTATTGGCTCTAAAGCTTTGATAGGAGTTTTATGGCTCTAAAGCTTTATAGGAGTTTTATTGGCTCTAAAGCTTTGATAGGAGTTTTATTGGCTCTAAAGCTTGATGGAGTTTTATTGCTCTAAAGTTTGATAGGAGGAGTTGATGGGAGTTTTATTGGCTCTAAAAGCTTTGATAGGAGTTTTATTGGCTTAAAGCTTTGATAGGAGTTTTATTGCTCTAAAGCTTTGATAGGAGTTTTATTGGCTCTAAAGCTTTGATGGAGTTTTATTGGCTCTAAAGCTTTGATAGGATTTTATTGGCTCTAAAGCTTTATGGATTTTATTGGCTCTTGAGTTTTATTGCTCTAAAGCTTTGATAGGAGTTTTATTGGCTCTAAAAGCTTTGATAGGATGTTTGAGGCTCTAAAGCTTGGAGTTTTTTTGGCTCTAAAGCTTTGATGGGAGTTTTATTGGCTCTAAAGCTTTGATAGGAGTTTTTTTGGCTCTAAAGCTTTGATAGGAGTTTTATTGGCTTTAAAAGCTTTAGGAGTTTTTTGGTCTAAAGCTTTGATAGGAGTTTTATTGGCTCTAAAGCTTGATAGGAGATTTTTGGCTCTAAAGCTTTGATGGGAGTTTTATTGCTCTAAAGCTTTTGGAGTTTTTATTGGCTCAAGCTTTGATAGGAGTTTATTGGCTCTAAAGCTTTGATGGGAGTTTATTGCTCTAAAGCTTTGATGGAGTTTATTGGCTCTAAAGCTTTGATGGGAGTTTTATTGGCTCTAAAGCTTTGATATTGGCTCTAAAGTTTTTTATTGGCTCTAAAGCTTTGATAGGAGTTTTATTGGCTCTAAAGCTTTGAAGTTTATTGCTCTAAGCTTTGATAGGAGTTTTATTGGCTCTAAAGCTTTGATAGGAGTTTTATTGGCTCTAAAGCTTTGATAGGAGATTTATTGGCTCTAAAGCTTTGATAGGAGTCTTATTGGCTCTAAAGCCTTGATGGGAGATTTATTGGCTCTAAAGCTTTGATAGGAATTTATTGGCTCTAAAGCTTTGTAGGAATTTATTGGCTCTAAGCTTTGATAGGGGATTTAGCTCTAAAGCTTGATAGGAGTTTAAAGCTTTGATAGGATTTTATTGGCTCTAAAGCTTTGATAGGAGGATTTTATTTGCTCTAAAGTTTGATAGGAGTTTTATTGGCTCTAAGCTTTGATAGGAGATTTAAATATGGCTCTAAAGCTTGATGGAATTTCGTTTACCCAAAGCTTTGATATATGATTTATTTTAGAAGCTTTGATAGGAGTTTCATGTACATGAAATCTTTGATAGGGTTTTTTACTTAGAAGCTTTTGATGTAATTTCTTTACCTAGAAGCTTTGATAGGAATTTACCTAAAAGCTTTGAAGCTTTGATAGGAGTTTCGTTTACCTAGAAGCTTTGATAGGAGTTCAGTTTGAGTAAGACATAAAGGAGTAAAAATTTAAGAAAGAATAGATTGCATCAGCTGCTAGAATTCATATTATAATTATTCAAGTTTCCTGGCTCTAGTCCTATAGATCAGTGAATCCTGTTTAATCCTCAGAAACTAGATGTTTATTGAACTTTAATATCAGTATTTTAGACGGGGGAGAATGCACATGGCTGGAGGATATTTTATACAAGAAAAAGGAATAGGATATAGCTTGGCTATGTGTTTGTATGTATATGTTGGTATATATATATATATATTTATATGTATGTCTATATATGTACGGATGTATATATGTACGAATGTATATATGTACATATGTATGTATATATATAACATATATATTATTTTATGTATATTATATTATATATATGTATATATGTAGATATATATATATATTTATTTTGTTTGATGAAAGCTAGGTTTCCTTCAGTGTACCATCATCAGCTTTATAGTAATGCCTTATGCAGTAAACTCTCTAGTAAGTGACTCCTTTAGTGAAAGCTCCATGTTAATGACAGAAATTCTGGCCCAAAATAGATCTAAATCTCTATTGCTCTGAAAGTCTGGCTTTGATAGAGTACAAAGATAGAAGACGAAGAAAGAAAAAAAATTAGGAGTTAACAGACTTGATTGTAATCTAAATGTTTTAATATTTACGTATGTTTGGGACATTCTGCAAGAAAGCAGAAGCTGAACATTGATTTGTAATTTTTATAGGTTTATGCCGCCTTTGCGTGTGCCAAAAGAAATGAAAGAAAGGAAGAAGGTACAAAACTAGTCATCTCAACATCTGTAACCGAATGTGAAATGAACAAACCAAATGTTCTGCACGGCTAGCCCCATGTCCTCCTATCTCTGCAGTGCTCGTTCCCATTTTCTCTTTATCACCTCAATGCCTGTTCAGTGAATGTCAGTGACTTAAAAAGCCTGTATTATTTACTTTGCTGTTCATGACCAGTCATGCTCTGAACTGTATGCTACAAACTATTACTGTAGTGTATACCCAGAACGTAAGAGATCTCGGAAAATGGGATGTGACTTGCAATGTCTTTGAGAGCAGTAGGTCCCAGGGATTAGTGTGGTAATAAAAAGTACCTTTCTTATAACCATAGAACTTGAATAACTAGTCTGATGCATTCTTCAAGCACATCGGATAAAAGAGAATTTACTGTATATGCAAAATCTCTTGGTACAACCTGTTTTGAGCACCAGCTTTAGTAATGCTGATATATTGTTAGAATTAGAGGTTCATGATCATAGTTTGGCTTTTTGTAATTGAGTTCTGAAGATTGGTGTGGTGGTAGATGTGTGTGTGCTAGAGTACTGTTTCATTAGTGTGACAGTGAGAAAATTATTGCCCCGTAAAATGTCAGTCGGGCAATACTGGTTGTGGATCACTGGTTTTTGATGTAATGTACCATCTTCCTTATTTACTTTCCACCCAAAAGAATATCTCAATTAGGCAACTAAAGTTTTTGCTTGTGTCAAGAAGCAGAAATACGGCTCATTAGTTAGGTTACTGAATTGGAAAGACAGATGCGATGTTAATTTTAGCATGAAGTAAGTACCAGAATTAGATTAATGAAAGAGGGTGTTCATTTCATGCACTTAATAAAAATGAAAATCCTATTCTTTTTGCAGGTCCTCCACCTCATGGAGCTCCCCCTCCACATGGTCCTCCCCCTCATGGAGGTGGACCTCCAGCTCCACATGTCAACCCAGCCTTCTTCCCCCCACATAGTGCTCCTCCCCCTGCAGCAGCTGCTCCACCAGCACACTATGCTCCTCCTCCACCTCCACATCAGGTAAGGGGCCAAATATTAGACTTTGTTACATGAAATCACAAATAGTTACTCATGAAATGGTTGATATGGACTCTTAAAATAGGTAACATTTGATCATTTTTGTTATACATAATGTATGTATATTTGTTTCATTTTGATTTTTCTCCTCAGCATGGATTTACTGGAGGAGATCATCGCATTGATGGTCCTCCTCCACTCTCAGAAGCTGAGTTTGAAGACATAATGAACCGCAATAGAACAGTTTCAAGCTCAGCGATTGCAAGAGCTGTTGCAGATGCATCTTCAGGTATTTTATTTGCTTCCGTATTTTGAAATTGTTACTTTTCTGTAACTTTTTGTAAAGGAAACCTTGTGGTTTTCTGGATTTCATTGGGTAATACTATAATTGTTACAGTTTCCTCTGAAATTCCAAGGTGGATATTAAGTGCATTTTTCGCATTTCAGGTGAATATGCCAGTGCAATTGAAACTCTTGTGACTGCCATATCTCTGATCAAACAGTCGAAAGTCGCACACGACGACCGCTGTAAAATCCTGACAAGTTCTTTACAGGTATGTGTTTACTTTTAAGGCATAGAAGTCGGGTAGAATTCAGTTCATTTTGATGATTTTCCTCTTCAATATGAATCCATAGTTGGTTGAAGAATGATGCACAGTCTATGAATGTGATTTAGATCATTATGCATATGTTTAGTATGCACAATCACAGAAAGTGAAGAGAATAAAAAGAAGTTAGAGGATTGAAAGCATGCATTCTTTGCTTCAGAATTTTCAACAAAGATTTTGCTTTATTTTTTTGAAGATTATGTTCAAAGCATAAAAAATAGTCCAGTGAATCAAGTCATCATAAAGTTTAATGGTCTATGAGTAGTTAAGAGAAGGGGATGATGGGAATCCCAGATGTACAAACTTTGATATAAATTTCATACCTGGAATATTAATATCAGTCTTACAAGACATGTCGTAACCTACGTGATTTACATCTGGAAGTCCTTTGCAGTGAAGGGCCAATCTGCCAAGGAAACTTTAAATTTGACAACACCCTCCCTTTTAGGACACACTACATGGCATCGAAGCCAAAAGTTATGGCTCCAGCAAACGACGTGAGAGATCACGCTCCCCAAGCAGAAGACACGTCGGAAAGATCGCGCTCAAGAGAGAAGAATACAGGGACCGCTCTCGATCGTCAAGACCGTGATATGAGCGCACCGCAGTGAGAGGAGGGGGACAACGGAACGTGGTGCTGCAGAGCGTGAGAGGGACTATGAGAGGTCGTACAGCAGAGAAAGGGAATATGACCGTTGACATAGTTTACAGGGATTTAAATTTATTTTTATTTGTTCTTTATTTCTAATGGGTTTATTTTTTTTATTATTTATTTATTATTAATATTTTTAATGGATATTATTGTTGTATAATAAGTATCAACATTTAATCTTTTTCTGTGTTTTGAAAACAACCCCAAAAATTGATTTTTACAAATTGTATTAACAGTTTTATAAGGATTTTCAAGTGTAAGGGAAAGCAGCTTTTTAATATCTCCACATGCTGTCATAAGTACGCTATTTTGTTGTTGCTTAGCAGTTTTGCACAGTTTGTAATTGCATACAGTATGTTGATAAAGTGAGGTGGAGCAGCATAACTTTTTTCTCTCTCTTCCTGTAGCATGAAAACTGCTTTGAAAATTAATTCATACTGATTGCACTGAGTCAGATTTGATCATAATAAGCATCCATTGAACTTGGCAAACCACTGACAGTAGAATTCACGGTAGTAATTTATGGAATTGAAAATGTAGGTTGAACTGTAATTGAGCAAGCCTTTCATGTATGGGAATCGACTTGTTAGTGTCTTTACATTTTAAGCTTAGATGTAATTTCTAATTTATTTTCTTTATGCAAATGAAGATCACAAAATTCCAGATATTATGATGAGCGTTACCGTGAGCGGGATGCTAGAAGAGAACGGATCGAAGAACGGCCAACACGTGAGCGCATCGAGGAACGCAGCACGAGGGAGGATGTGCGGGAGCCGGTGCGAGAGCGTGAGAGAGAGCGTGACAGGGACAGAGAGAGGGAACGCGACGTCAGAACACGGGAAGAGAGAGAGTCGTCGTCACACCGTTCCTCAAGGCATTAGGATGCTGTGTGGTTGAATGTTTGTGTTCCCATGTAAAAGAAAGGAAGAAAAACGAAGAAAAAAGCAGCAGGCTTGAGTTTGAACAATATCTAAGTTTTGGGATGTTGCTTTTTTTCCTCTTTTCTTTTTTTTCTTTTTTTTTCTTTTTTTCCATGTCTTG